CAAAGGATCAAATAAAACAAAAGCTCATGCGTGGACTCCCAAAGTAAGGATGGTTGATGAAAGGGCGTAAACCACATAACAAGCGCTAATGTTGAGCCCAAATGAGACGTTTCCTGCTCTCGTATGTGCTGGCCTCGATCACGAATGTACTAGCGCGACGAGTGGCTGGATGGACAGTTGGTCGGGTAGTAACGGGGTATATGTCGACCAACGTGGCCAGCGGGTGGCGCGATGATGTGTGCCGAATTTCAGGCGTCCTCTGCTTTCTTCCCATTGATGGCTTTGAGCTCGACATCGCTGCCATCGCGTTAGCATTCCGCTTTGCAGCCTGTGCACTGATCCCGCGATAACAAGGTGGAAGGAACAGCATGTGAGCTGTGCGCTGTGTGGATGAACAACACACACACTTGTAACACATAAATGAGGCGTCGCAAGCGCGCTGTAGTGTCCCAAATGACGAAGAAAATGAAGTTGGGCACCTACAAGATCAATTTGGCATTGGCCGGGATGTGTCCAGGAAAGCCACTGTTGTCCACATGGTCAGCACTTGCACCTCATGGTCTGATCAGATCGTCGAAGTCCAAAGATGCGGCGATGCCAATAGGCTGCAGACATTCGTGTTGTACAAGATTGGCGGTTGCTGCGGCATGGACGTCCAGGAGCGCGGGAGATTCGAAGAAGCATGGCTCAAACGATCTTCGGAACGTCGTCAGCCGTACTAAGTCTTGGCTCCGTCGGGCGTTCGTGTTCACGGTGGCGTGTGTACTTCCAAGGTTCGGTAACGTCCCGTCTTACTTGTTCCCGTCCCGACCATGGAATGTGCAAATTGTAAAGTCGAACTTACCGAGTGCCATATGCATAATCACTGCATCGCACGTATCATTAGTATAGTACACTCACGCGGAAGGATACGTCGTGGGGATTACGTACGATGTTATGATTAAAGTCGCCTTCTCTCCCAGCGTCATTGGAGAAGCCTCTGCGGAGCCTAAAATGCCCTCATCCCAGCCTGTGCATGAGCTTTAGCCAAATGCGCGTTCAGAATCGTAGAATGCATATGCACCAAGCGCAGAGCGGGTTGGGTTGGGCATACCTTTGATGACCCGGCCGGCACCGATGGGAGTGATCAGGTCACCGCGACCTACGGAAGTATCGAATCTAAAGAACGATCAATACGGCGCTCTATTCGATGTCCAAGGCATGACTGCTGCCGGTTCGCTTACTGTCCGCCTTTGTGGTCCGGGGCATCATCGTCAAATAGCCATCCTGTCATTGTTGTTAGATGTTGATCTCTGGTGAGGAATTGAGTAGCTAATCTCACCAGTGTATTCCATAGACACCTCGTCATGCTTCTTCGGGAAGTCTATGCCATTGCCAGGTCTGATCACGAGCTTTTCAACGCCCATATTGAAGGGAACGAGCATGGATAGCGTCTAGGGCGGGTTTGAAAAAGGTGAAGCTTGAAGCTTGAAGCAGGTGACAGGTAGTGTATGTAGAGGATCCACTTCCTTTGGTACTGATTAAAGATAGCGTGTCGTTTTGAAAATCCGAAATCTGCAAAGATGGGGAAGTACGTTAGAAAGTGGGTGGACCCTAGAGTTTAATAGTGGTGCCGATGTGTAGGACCAGGAGTAGGAAGCTCCGTAGATGCTCTGACTGGAGCTCAGACTTTCATGGCTTTTACTTTGACCAAAAGCATACCAGGGTTTTGCCGCGAAGCTGTGCAACAGATTGGTCTGTTCAGATGCGTCAAGCATACTTTTTAGCCTCTTCGCATACGCACACGTTCCACCTCTTTGGCTCCAAGGTAATTGCGGGCTACGTATGGTACGACCCACAGCCGTCAGAATGTGTCTCCCGGGGAATCCTGCCCGAAGCTCAGGCCGTTTTGAAATGTCAGAAGTAAGGTTGGTCTAGCCCTTCCAAACCATTCTTCATCTGCAGCATCCCAGCTGACACGCGATGGGGGATCCACAATTGACATGGTGGAAGGTTGTACCCGTACTACAGTTTCCCGCGACTACCGAGCGGCCTGCCAACTTCGATGCGGATCTTTGTTTTGTGATAACACGGGTATAATCATGTCCGATAGTGGCTTAGCTCTCTTATCGACGGTAACAGGATGACACAAGGGTTGATTTGTAGCCGCTTTGATGGAAAGGAAGCAGGGTGGCGGCGCGCAAGAGAGTGCGGTCAAGCTTGAAGTGCGGTGACGGTCACCACGATCATGAGCCATCTAGCACCAATGTGCGCATGGCGCTGGCGCCAGAACCTTAACCTCGTCCAAGGAAGCGGAAGGCGCAAATAAGCCGGCCGTGGCCCCTACCTCATTTGGAGTCGCACGATGGAAGCAAAAAGGAAAAGCGCCTCTGACGCAGCAATATTCGGTCTTGTCGAATAACACACGGCCGCCGCATTCCTCCATGACAAAGGGCGATGCGTAGACTTTGGTACGGCAATGCATGAGGACCTGCATGACCTAGCTTTTACGCTGCTTGTGAAGGGCGAAAAAGGATCTCCTTGTAGGATCCTCTTCCAGCTCCGTGGAGGCAGGTGGCGGTCATACAGATTTGAAAATGGATATGGACAGGGGTGACGTGCATACGCAACACCGTTCTCGAAAAGCAATGTTCGGTCCTTCATGGTAGATGTACCCCGCGGTTTCAAATTTCCAATCACTAATCGGCATTCTGCTCTTCCACACCTAATCGTCTCCTTCATGCTACCGCTATATCCGCATCCCTAATATACGACCAGGAGACTATCGTACCTCGTAGTCTTCACTTCCCCTGCGTCTCACGCCGGCCCAAGAACCTAGCTGTGTTTCTGCTTTCGAGTCTGTTATAGTTTGCCAATCACAGACGCGTCGGATACACACCCGGCTGCCGTACGGAGCTAGACCCACCCGAAGAACAACCGTATTTCGAGCGGTTCGTCGAGATAACCATATGCGGAACTGCTGGCTATCGTGCTTCTCGCGGCAAACGAATAATTCATTTGAACTAGAGGGACAAAGCACAAGCACAAGGGGTGCGGGGCTAAAGAGTAAATCCGATGGCCATTACACGTGGTCTTTCAACCGTGCTCCAGCCATCCCTTCTCAGATCGCGAGCCCTGTGCGCTAAGTCGGGAGCCCAACAGCGTGGTCTGGGAGCATCGTACGCTTTGCATTGGCTAGATAGAGTGCGCTTGCAGCGGCAGCTGAGTCGTGGAGAAGAGGAGCCCCCACGCATCTGGAGTGCAGTATCGTGATAGACAGCATGAGCCACAGTCGACTAGTGATGTGGACTCGCAAGTTGCATGTCACCGAACCGTCGGATGCGTTCGCTTACATTAAATATCCGAAGGCCATGGGCACTGCATGTAGGCACCCTACCAACCGTTGACAGAAGGTGCTTGATAGTGTGGCCCCGGCATTCGGGCCCGAAACTCTCCTTGCTGAGAGTTTCAGTGGCGCTTCTAACTACCGAAGGGCTATCCATCGCGAAGAGTATATCACCCTATCTTGGCCCAGAAGGGTAATTGCGCCAGGTCGGTTACAGCAATGCTAGAGAAGCCCGCGTTGGGGAAGCGGCTGTCTTTGCGCTCACCGGCCCGGTCAGCAAAATGTATCCGGTCTATCCCTGCCTTCTGTACGAAAGCCAATAGTCGCGCATAGTTTGTACCTATCTGGTCAATCCCATGACTGTCATCAGACATGACGAAACCACCTCCCATGCTTAAGAACATCTATGACATAGGTTAGTAAGTTGACGCCGAGACCGGGCACATGGCGGTGTGACTGACCTGACATATGGGCAAGCACGGATACGGCTCGGCCAAACCTTTCCGCAACCCTGATGAGTTCAGCTCCAGTAGAGCGCCATAAGAGGCTACGTATTCCAGATTGCGCTTGATCTTTTCCCAAACACCAGTCATGCCCTTGAAATCAACATCGCGATGATCGCTAAGTAGGCGAATGAGATCGAAGTGCCCGACCACTGGCGGTCGCAGCTCTCGAAGCATTTCGTATTGAGAGTCGAAGTAATCTTCAAAGAGCCGCTCGTCCGTCCCGCCTGCCTCCTCTCGAGCTTGTTCGTACATAGCGCGATCGTAGTCGATGGGTATGGTGTGCGTATGGTGGACAGAGCCCATGAAGAAGTCAAAAGTGTACTTGTCGAGGATGCTTTGGATGAGTTGCAGTGTAGATGGACGAATCCATTCCGTCTCGAAACCGATGAGGATCTGGATCTGGTCTGAGTACGCGTCTCTAAGTCTGTGGGCTTCGGCGATAAAGGCGTCGAACAGTTTCGCGAGGCTCTCTGCGGTGTGGAATTCGGATTCTTCGGGGTAGAAGTCTTCGAGAGGTCTAGGTATATGCTCCGTCAGCGCAAAGGTATGGAAACCTTTGGCTATCGCTGCCTGGATAACTTCCTCGAGTGTGTTTTGCGCATGTCCGCAGAACTGGCCAGAGTGGCTGTGATGCGAGTACGGCATTTTCGAGTAGCCGGCACACGTTCGATCTGGTACAGTGTAGATGTGTAGCGTTGTGCAGCAGATGGGCAGCACAGACTGCGAAAGTCTGTAGTAAATTGACAACGAGGAGCAATACCCCGTCAACTGATGAAGTCGCGAAACTGTGAACTGTATAATGACTGTAAGAGTCAGCTGTACGTTTAAAAAGATGGTCGCGCAGAGGATTCTGCGAGCTTTGTATCGGTTCTTTCCAAAATTTGGGTCATGTCATCCATCCATGGTTCCATCCGTTGAGCCTCGGAACTGTGCCTAAGCGGGCCTAGTTCACCACCGTTCTGAACCAACCGTAGACGCACACCTCAGCCTTGAAGGCCAATTGAAACCAACGCGAAGTAAGCTATCATTTCTCCAACACTCGATACAAGGGCAGTTTTGAATAGCTCAAGTCTGCCGCACAGTATATCCCACACATCATCCAAATCTATAGCCGTCAAGAACGATCCCACTACCATCAACGACCCTAAAGGCCATCAATATAGCTCAACATGGCGAACACCCAGCTCCCCATCACATCACAAACCTCACCCACAATCTACTTCGGCTACGGTTCCAACCTCTGGCTCCACCAAATGAGCACCCGCTGCCCAACATCCAAATACCTAGGCGTCGCCCGCCTGCCCAACTACCATTGGATCATCAACGACCGCGGCTACGCGAACGTCGTCGAATCCTCCAAGCAAAACTCGTCCTCCAATTCGTACTCTGATGTAGTATTCGGCCTCGTCTATTCGCTCTTACCAGAAGACGAAAAGAGACTGGATAAAAACGAGGGCGTACCGGTCGCATACACAAAAGAGATGCTCACGTGCGATTTCTGGCCTTCAGACACAGAGCACAAGGTTGATACTAGCAAGCATCCGGAGAAAAAAGAGTCAATGCTCGTTTATATTGATCGGAATCGTGTTACGCCGGATAAGCCGCGGGACGAGTATGTTTACAGGATGAATCAAGGGATCGCTGATGCAGTCAAGTTGGGGGTACCAGAGGGCTATGTGAGAGACGTGATGAGGCAGTACATTCCGGCTGAAGAGGATGAGGAGGGGAAGGAGGGGGAAAGGGAGAGGATGGCGGAGTTTGCCAGAGGGCAGGCGGCAGAGTTTAGGGATGAGAGTGGTGTGATGCAATAACATGTCGGTTTGGTCATCACGTCGCACGCCAGGTATAGAATAGAGAAGGTATTGAATGAGTTAACAGACTAGACCACCCGGATATGAAGCAAGACATGCATCACGCGACGATACACAATGCAACGAAGCTCATGGCAGTCCACGTCCAAGCAATGAAGCGGCACCAAGCTAATCACTGCCTTGGACCTCTTCTGTCGCTCGGGCTTGTGCGTCAGAGTCGTCCTACAACTCCTCACGGGCCCTGCGGTAGCTGGCCTGTGAATGCAATGCATCAGTTGGGTCCTCTGCAAAGAAGTCTAGTAGTCGGAAGACTGATGTCTACGCACCTCCTGTTCCACCTGCAGCTGCTCGACGACGGGAGCCAGCTCGGACAAGATGTCGTAGGCCTTCTTGTGGTATTCGAGTTGGGCGGCGATGAGTTCGGCGAGGTTGCGGAGTGGCTCGGGGGTGTCGAGGACCTAGTCGGAGGTTAGCGGGGGTGCCAGCACAAGGTGGTGTAGGGTGAGGGGTATGGTCGTACATTCTTCATGACGCCGACAGCCTCCTCAGTCTGACCGACGAACTCGTCCTCGGCCTGCTCGATCTTGGCTCTGGCGTCTTCGCTGATGTCGTCGTCCATGACGTCTTTCTTGGGAGCCTGGCCCGGCAGGGAGAAGGCAGGGCCCTTGGCATTGGCCTTGGTGGCATCGAGGCTCAACCTGGAGTTCTCGACGGCCTTGCGCGCACGTGTGGCGAACTGGATGTTGGTGTTGAGCGTGGTGCTCCAGCCGGCCAGGAAGCGGCTCTGGATCTGGGCGTCCTGCGCCAATCGCGCCTCGCCGACCTTCTCGCTGGCGATGGCGTACTTCTCGAGCGCCGTGGCCAGGGGGTCCTCGCTCGAGCTTGTTTGCTCCGACGTGAGCATGTGCGAGGCGTTGAGGGCGGCGCGGGCAACGGCATGGCTGAACGTCTTGGGCTGGGGCTTCGCAGAGGGAGGGGCAGTGAGGGCTGCCTGGGCCTCGGCGGGCGACGTGGCGCTGGAGAGCAGGTTGACCTTCTCCGAGACGGTGCGGCCCAGGTCGTTGAAGGACTCGCGGATGTTGGCTGGGTAGTCGTAGGCTTCGTTGGCGTATTGCGAGCTAGACAGTCAGACCAGGCACAGCGACGGGGATCGGGTGTCGTACGTGACCTGCAGCATCGTCGTGTGCACCTTCTTCAGCGCATCCACGCGCTTCTCCAGCTCGATGTAGTCCGGCGGGAGTTGGGTCTGCCGTGTCTGTGTCAGCACTGCGCCGGCGACGCTCACAGGGCCGGCCGTACCTTGTCCTCGACATTGCCGACCTGCTCCTTGACATACTGCTGCGTCCGGGCAGCCCACGGTGTGAAGGAGGCGCTGCAAAAGCAATGTCAGCATATCGCGGGCTTCCACCTAGCAGTCGCTGCGGGACCAGGCATACGAGATGTTCTTTCCAAACGCCGAGATCTTGCCGAGGTTGTCCATGGTGCGTGGTTCGTGTGGTAGCTGTCACGGGCTTGTCTGTGTCTCGTGGCGGGGCGTCGTGGTAGTGGTCGAGGTGCGCTCTCCTCTGCCGACTTTCATGTGTTCCGCTGCCCGCTGTCAGGGTCGCGCCTTATCCCTGCAACGCTAGCTAGGCCCGTTTCGATCATCTCCAACGCTCCACATGCACACTCCACAGCGCTTCAACAGGCATCTCATCGCCTTCGCTCATCCATTCTAGAGCGGTTCTAGGATTTGCAACCTCTTCAAAAATTCAATCCTTTGCAGGCACGCCGAAATCGCACGAACGAGGCACGTGCGGAGCAACTCGATATTTGCATCGCATTCACAGCCATCACATGCCAATTTGTCAGACCTGCCCAGGTGATCTCCAACCACATCAGTGGTATCCTATCCTTTGATTCTAGTATCACAAAAGTCGCATAGAACCGCCACGCGCTATTGTGACCGCATGTGTGCCTGCTTTGTCTCCATCCACGTGCCTCACATCGAGTCCACATAACAGTTGCGTCCCCTCATCTCTCGTGAACAAGCTTTCCATCAAGTGCATCTTGTCAAACTCCACTCCCCTGAATATCCATCGATAGGGCTATGGAAACCCAATCTATATGCGACGTCGAATCTGACATACGGTCCAGCAGCTGACAGACGTCACACCACATGACATGCCGTGTCTGTTCGGTCGCTCATTTCTTCCTCTTTGGCTACAGCCCACTTCGCTCTCTGTGGCCCAAGATGCAATGTTGTGTGTCACGGCAGCACTGCCTTCAGGCAAGCCAAACCTCTTCTGTCCTCAATCTAGCACTAAACCGCCTCTCGGAAGGCCATCTCGGCGATCGACGCTCGTCCTACAGGGCTGATAGAGCGTTTCCGACAGACACACTCTATTGCAATGCATCCAGCCGTCATCCAGGGCAACGTGGGCGTAGGCACTACCGACGTGGCATTGCATCTGACCGACACAACAATTTACGTCTTATCGCAGCCGTGCTGAGGGATTCGAATACTTCTTGCGCCCAAAACATTCTACTGCACAGCGTACTGTTGATGTGACCCCGGTGGACAAGCCTCAGCGTTTGACGACTTGCGGTCGCTTCCGTAGCCCGGAGATTGCCAATCTGGAGAATTGTACGTTGAAGCCACGCCGTCGGCGCTCGTCACCGTCATGTTGTCCGAGGGCGGCGAATCGGAAATTGTCAGGGAGCTGAAGATGCCTCGCATCTCTCGTAGATCGTCCGAGACCTGGTCCTTGGGTGCCTGTGTGCGGTCTTTGATAAAGTCTTTGATGGACCGGATGATAGGCGGGCAGCTTTCGTCGTTGGGAAGCCACCAGTCCGATGGGCCAACCCCCATGCCTTCGAGCATACGATTGCGAAGAATGTCAGAATAAATGTATCTGCCCCTCGTGTTAGTCGACTTGTCGAAAACTTCTCATGTACCTGGTCTGCGTAGAGGAAAGCATATTGCACTCATCCAGCTTCGTACAAGCAAGAGATTCCACTTACCCTGATGCTTCAATCCTGGCAAATGTCTGTCGAACCCACTGCACAGTCTTCTGATCTTTCGGCAGGAACAGAGTCGCGATGGCGAAACTGACTTGTGCCTCCAGTACCGCGCCCGGCGGAGCTTCCGGATATGCGCATATAGCCTCGAAGACTTGTATCGCTTTGTATGCTTCTTTAGTGACTTCTGGATCAAGAGGCTGCTTCAACGCCATAGAAGACGAGATCGTAAACATGAACATGATACCCCACGTGTCCAGCTGCAGGAAGTTCGATGTCCAAAGCGGTCCGCCCCATAGGACATCCGGCTCGTAAGGGTTGACAATGTCCTCTGGCTTTGGCGTTCCCAGGATCTGGTGGACCTTGTGATTGGGATCCGTCAAGTCTGTACCCATGTTCCTTTGTAGCGATTCCACTCTCTCCCTGAGTATCGGTAACTGGGCCATGAAATCTTGGGGACTGACAAGACCTTTGGCTGTTCTCGCAAACAGATCGTTCGAGTCTTTCGCCACCAGTCTTGAATGCGCAAAACGCTCTTCGTATTTCATTCCAATGTCTCCTGGCATGTCGCGTACTTTCTGCACGTAGCATCCATGTACAGCCTCGTACCACTCCCGACCCAGCACTGCTTCGCCGCCAGACTGAAAGCCAACAAACAGATCAAACCGGACATACCACAGTAGTACTTTGCAGAGAAAATCTGACTTGGTGATAGTCTCCGGCGTGAACAGGCGGGTGAGCATTTCGAACGCAGCTTTCTGATGACCCATGAGGTTGACCCAGTCACCAAGCATCTCCTGCAGTAGACGTCAGCATAGGAATCGTGGGCTACAGCAAGGCTACATACCTCGATACTGGCAAGCTGTAGTATAGTCAGAAACGTTGCGAGCCCCTGTTTCTTATTTTTGGTGATGGCTATCCTCAGCCGCGAAACAGACTCGTTGTAGAACTGAAGAAAGCTGTTCATGCGGCCATCTGGCTGCTCAAGTGTGTGGAAGTACGCCGCGTACCCGGCTACAGCGTACTTCAAAGGCTCAAATTTCATCGCCCAACTCAAGAAGTCGCCTTTGAGGAAGCCGTGCGTGTCGCGTTTCAGCGAGTAGTGATGCACACTCATATGGTCCCGGAAGTAGTTCAGATAAAACTGAAGATCTCGGGCCATAGCGGAGGTGCCCTTGGTCACAGGACCCGGTTTGGTGGTTTGCGCACTGCCTTTCCGAGACAGGGACGGTCGTATCGTAGGCGGGGCGGTTGATGACGCTTCGGTAGATGGCGACGTACTTTGATCGAGGAGCGACCCGGGTGTATGTGACGAATCTCGGGCATCTTGACTCTTTGACATATCGTCGTCGTCGTCGTCATACTCGATGTAGTCGTCATCCTCGTCTTCATCCATGATCGCGGGAAGACGCTCCTTGTTCTCCCCATCATGGGTTTCGGGTGAGGAATGATCATCCGCGAACGCCGACTTGCCCGACTTGGACCCATTCCGGGTCGCCTTTTGACTGGACTGTGAGTCTGGATAGATGCACTCGCGGCTCCCCTTGCGACAACCTAACAAACTTCGTCAGACTTTACGAACTTCAGACTTGTCAAGCAAGTGCAGGTACTCACGTTCGCAGACGGGATGATTTTCGTCGCACTGTTACCAATCAGCCAAGCCTGACACCTGAAAGTTGATGCGCATACCTTGACTCTTCGTTGCCTGCATGTGAAACAACCGCTCCGAGTTCTGCGGTGCTTGACCTGCTCGCCAGGTGCTGGCCTTCTTCGCGCGCGACCATTCCCACCATGCGCTGAGCCCATGGGGCCGGACATATCCTCATACTGGTCAACGTAACTTGGTTGACCAATGTTCTCGTATTGTACAAAAGGTCCCGTCACGCCAGGCTGAAATGGGTTGTCTGGCAGAGTGGTTGCATACGAGCCATGTGAGATGATGGTTGGTGGGGCATGTTGAATGTTGGAATTGGGTATCGCATTAGAATCGAGGTTGTAGTATTGAGGCGGAATGTTGTGCCCTGTGGGAGGATAGTATCCAGACATGCCTGAGAGAGATGGGAAAGACTGGAGAGCGATGGAGTGTAGGTTGTTTGTATTGGTAAATGTTGGTGAGCCGTGGACGGTAAGCTTGCCGTAAAAGGATCAACGTCATTCAGTTGCAAGGGTCCGAGGTCGATCGCCGTGTCCACGGGTGTGACAATGGCTCGGGCGCCAGGTACGGGATTTTGAAGGGATATACTTGTAGAATCACGCTTGCAGGATCGAAGCCGTGATTTAGTCCAATGCACGCTGATTTGGGCGCGCGGGTGTTGGCCCCAGCAAGCACTAGGACCAAGCCGTCTTAAATAGACCAGAATTTTGTCCGCAAAGGAACAAGCCGATCTAATGCAACACAATCGCTGACGATGGAAGCATGTGCAGTACCAGTCTGAGACTGAAACTGGACAACGTCGAGGAGGAGAGCACAGCAGGCGCAGGCAGAGGTCGTGTGAGAGCCGGGCCGTGACAGGAGGCTTGTGTTTAGTTCGGCCAAAGAAGCAATGTCCAATACCAGGAACGGATAGTTTCAATGTTCATCAAACGTCTGCATCTAAAGCCGGGGTGCAGCGAAGGGGAAAAAGCAAGCCGCAAGCCGCTGAGTTGTCTCCCAGGCCGCTGTGCTATGGCCGTGCACCTAAACGCTTCCGCCTTCCGCGCACCCATGGATTAGCTCGGTGCAAGATGCGCTCTGCGATCCCAGGTTTGATCGCTCTTGATCCCCGTGCGAACTGGTCCACTCGCCAGCATCCACATTGGATGGATTCTGGGGAGAGCAGAAGGGTCTGCCCGGAACAATCGCTCCAAAATGCCGTATAAGGCGATATTTGACACATCCCCGCCGTTGATCCCGCCTGTCAACTACTGTTAGGCGTGCTGCCACAGCGATTATAGACTCGAGTACGCTACGGCTTGAGCGAGGTCGCGGATCGCCTTTGCAGCAGACGGACCAAGCCTAGCAGAAGGCGAGCACAAAGCCGGACATGATATGCATCGGCCCCGATTTCACCAAGGTGGTGAGGCATGTGGGGCGTTCAACGAAGCCATGGGCTAGGTCAATCGTCAGCGAATGGCGCCTGGACTTGAAGCTGCGCTGGAAGCGGCTGTCAAAGTTAGTGCACACACATACTCGAGTGCCCTTACTCGGGACTGCGTGATGGGCGTCGTTGAGTATAGGGCAGGGCTGGTATATCCATGGACTTTTCCGTGAACTCCACTCTCCTGAAGTGGCGAGTGCGCCGATGCAATGCAGTGCAATTGCCCGGTGGCAGCCTTTAGACTTTCAAGCCTCATCAATGTGCCTGTTAAGAAGAATATCAATTTGATATTTCATCTCACAAACGCGGCTAGCGACGTCGGGCTCAAATTAGCCAGCCGTGCAACGCCACCGGCTCCTTCGCACTGAGTCAACGAGGCCGTTGACGGGAGAATAAAGCCTGCTTCGAGAAGATGGCGGCACTGCCTGCTAACCAGTACAAGCACCGTCGAGCTCAGCCCCGGGTCCCTGTCCCGTGACAATGGTAGCTCTTGGATGCCTGCGTCTCCCCAGGGCATGGAGGCGCCACGGCTGTCTGCATGTTGACGATGCTGCTGGCATGCCGCGGGAAGATTGGCGCCAAAGTGCGAGCTAAGTGGCATGAGCAGGATCGCCTCATCTGCGCACCGTCGCCCCAGCGGCGCAAGGCGGCAGCGGCACTTGGATCAAACGGTACAGAGACAGCGGACATGGCCTTTGCGGTCAGACTGGCTCCTTTGGAGGCACTATGAGGTAACTGTCTCTGTGTCGTGCCATGCAGGAGTGGCCAACGGGACTGGAGCGGGGCAGGACTGATATCGTCATGGGCCCTGACAGATAGTGAGACCGACCTTACAGAGGTTGATGTCGTGTTCTGCCCTATACCAGCATGGTAGATGGCGGATGCTGTAATCGCGAATCCGGCTGCAGCTGACTGGTGGAGCTTTGAGCGAGCGAAAGAGCGGGACGCGACCGCGACCGCGACCGTGCAGTTGCTGTGCGTCATGCACGCGGCGCGTCTTTTGGGTGGATCTCTAGATGATTGACGCCGCGTCTCATTTGCCTTGCAGCGACGGAGGCCCATATGCTGACGAGGTCTAGATATGCTGTGCAACAACGCCTGGCGGAACCCAACCTTGGAACTTCGTTCTCGCAAGCCTGGCCGCAGCTCAGCGCAGTCCAGGTGCATGCCAAACGCGGCCTGCGTGTGCCGGTGGCTTGCGTCTTGCATGCCGCGAATGACGGGCTGGATGCTACGGCAGAAGATGAGGTAGTGTGTGGGGTGACGGTCGAGCTTTTTCTGCCGTCGTCGAGAGGAAGGTCAGATTCAGATTGGACGACTCATCACGCAGGCAGGTGCGAGTCCGAGGTACGCTATTCCACGGCAATGGACCCACGTGTAGCAGGCAGGGTTACGCCCGTTTCTACCACGGCGACCCACAGCCAGATATTCAGCTTGAAACAATTAGACCGACTGCAAGACGCTCCGCAACCTCTCGCCCGCAGAGCGCGACGTCAATCTTACGCTTTCTGGCACGCTGACGACATTGCCAATGGCTGGCGACTGCCTTCCTGCGAAGCAACGACTACTGCTGACACGAAGCAAGGCCTGAATCCACTCTCACACGCGATTGCAGTGGAGTCTCTGCGAGATCCTAGAGTGCCATGTTCTCTGTCTCAACGTCATTCCCATCTCCCATGGGCACTATTGAATCATCTCCACATCTCTCTGTCATGTGAAGCGCGACCTAGGCTACGGAATATCCCATTCGTAGTCATGGGCGGCAGCCCGCGAGATTCAGAGAAATCATGAGCTACCATAAATCCTTCCGTATTGACCGGAAGACACTGTTCCTGCCCGAAACGGTAACCTCATCTCCGAGTCGAACGAGTGGACCAGTGACCCTGGACTTGCAACTGGTCGAGGGTTGGCAACCAGATCGCACTTACTGGGATATGAACCTGCGAACATTCTACATGACCGGTAGCTGAGAGGGATCGGGAGTTGCAGTGGGATCTGGACACGACATCACGCAACGGTCCGCCTTTCTTTCGTATTGGCTAGGATCTGGATTTGCTGTAGGAACAAGCCGGTACCCTGGCTCCTGAGACTCCATCCCAGGTTGCGCGGTGGTCTTGAATCATCAAACACAATCTTGCATGATCCTTACGGCTGCACAAGAATCCTTCTTGAACAGCTCATCGGATTGTATCAATTAATCTATCGTGGTCAGCTACAGCAACCAAGCAACTTGTGTGAGAGAGTTCATATGACATCACGCATGCGAAAGCTAGACGTCTATGTTCCTGATGGAACGCAACGGTCGTCTGATAGATCGCCCGCCCAGCTTGTATACAACCATACTCCACGATATGCAGGGTCTGTGACTCCGCGCGACCAATAACAAATCCATACACACGTTCGTCCGCATTCCGAGTTGTAGCCTATTTATCCAGTATGATCAGCAACGTGTCCCTCCGTCCCGAAAGCAGGCGCACGCCATTCCGGTATCTGCACTTATCCCGTCCTCACGCAGGCTATATCAAGCTACAGCAGACCAAGCCGTTCATCCATCAGCAACTCCTTCTGCGCTCCGCGGAAGCATCAACAAGGGGACTATCACCAGTCTACGCCCCATTCAGAAATACCCGGACGCTATTGATCGAGGGTTCGGCGGCTGGCTGTGAAAATGTCAAAAGGTGTGTGTGCACTGATATGCGCGTGTGTGGACCTGGTTCTGGTCCATCCACAAGCATCGTATGATAACTACGGTTGTGGCGGCCGCCCGCCCCGGCAATGATTACTCCTACGACGCTATCGGGTCAGCACTACAAGTTCCAGAACGGAAAACTCGCCCTGTGCGTCTTCGCCGTTTACCAAAGTCGTTCCACCGTATAGCTATACGCTGCCTAGTACACTTCCTCTCCTGTTCGACCGGAAGGAGAAAAGGTTCGGGCATTTCGGGGTACTAAGACCGAATAATGGCCGGCACGACACGTCCCGTAACATGTGGGTGACTCGTCGCACTTGGGCGGATGACGAGCATCTGTATCAGCTCTGCTAATCCGCCATGGTACGTGATGCATGACATGAAGCAGGCTTATGTGAGCAGATATGCATCCCCTCTCTCCATGTATCACTCCTTCAATGCGATCCCGAGAAGTTACATGCCGAAAGAACGCTCCTTGTCATTATTACTGCTGGCAGGCAGGCCTTCAGCACAAGCGTAGCAGTTGGTCATGTCTGCTTAATAATGTAGCTTTAGAGCTAAATCACTTCTCCTGTCTTATCCTACCGCCTGTACAAAGAGAGATTCGTAGCAAGTCGTTGAGATGCTGCCCGCCGAAAAACAGTCCAACCCCCATCCCTTTTCCCTGGGATGCCGTGATGCCAAATATGCCAAGATTCAAGTGGTAGATTGTGGACGCCATGAACGCTCCAGTTTGCAAGAAATACAGAAAACAGCCTGATACGATAATCCTTCGTATCCAATAAACCGGGTGGAGCAGCCAATCATATAAGAAAGGGGTATATGTGAAGAACGAGCGGAGCCGGAAGAGCAGAGCCTGGTGTGCTGCAGATGAGAATCGTTCAAGCGGCTGCTTGCGGCGCGGCAGGCGCAGCGGCATCGGGAGTGGCATCGGCTTCTTTGACCGTTTCGTGCACGCCCTCACCTCTACAGAGCGGACACGAGTTGCGTCCTGTTGTCAGCCACTAGAATAGGTTAGCATATGCAACTCCTCGAACACAAGAGACCAACTCACCTGATCAATGCAAATCTTGTGGAACATGTGTTCGCACCTGACCAGCTTCCGCGCCTCCTCATCCACCTCGAAGTCGCATAGGCAGACGAGGCAGCGCGCACCCGGAACGAGACTGATGGTCTCCTCGCCCTCAACAGCCTCGGCCACAAGAGTACCAACACGATCTTGTATCCTGAAGAGACCCGGAGCCGAAGCCACATCCTCTTCGCTCGCAACTGGCGGTTTGGCGGGCCCGAGTATAGAAGAAAGCAACATCATGTCTTCGTAAGTTGGTGAATCAGTGAAGAGACTTGGGGTAGTAAGAATAGGGTGGTTCTCTGGGTAGCTCCCTCCCAGGACGTATATGATCCAGCTCCTCGAACCCTCCCCAGGATTGTTGTCGGGCTCCACGACACCTCTTCTACGGGGTGCACCCGACCCATACCTTGTGAAATCCGACTCGCTCAAGCGTCGTGGGCGAGCATTGCGGGTGTGCGTTTGTGGCTCTTCTGCAGTGGGCTCGAGAGTCGAGCCGGCAGCTCTACGGACGAAGCTGTTCCGCCGTGAAGGTGCCGAGGACTGTATGGTCGGCGAGGGAGGAGAGGTGGAAGTCGCTGGTGTAGTGGCGCCTGATGGGCCGGCTGAGAAGTTGAGCGTCGTCGCGGGCGTGGAGGGTGGGGGGAGAGGCCCCGGGGGAGAGTCAGTAACGGATGACCATGGCCGAGGGTGCTCTTGTGGCGTGCCGCGGTGATGCCTTTGACTGTCGTAATTGGAAGGAAAGTTGAAGCCGCCCATCGAGGCTCGCCGCCTATGGCTGAAGCGTGTCCCGTTCTGTGGTGGTTGTAGGATGTTTGCATTGGCATCGCCTGGTGACGTCGGTGGTGTGGGGAAGCTCGAGAGGGCATCAAGGAAGGGCGGTATGCTGGCATCCTCCTGTCCAGTGCCACTTCCGGGTTGTATGGATCTGATGCCCACAATGATTATCGGCACCATCCTGCCCTCCCCATCCTCGTCGCCTTCTGCTCCGCTATTCCCTGATGCACTGCCACCGCGCCCACTACTATCGTTCCGCCCGTTGTCGGTGCCGGTGCCAAATCTGAACATTCTGAAGAAATTGAGGGGCGCCTGGGCGGCTCCCGGAGTGTCGCCACCTTGTCCGTCCTCGTTGCCTCGGAGCGCCGATGCTATGCTGCCATTCTGCAGCGACTGCAAGAAGGTATCGAATGTGCCGTCTCGGGTTGCTGCTTGGTTGTCGTCGCCCACCAGTGAGGCTGCCGTGGCTGCGGCGGCCAGCGATAGCAGTCTCGACAGCACGTCGGCCTGGTCCTCGCCCTGCCGCAGCTGCTGCACGTTGTCCATGTTCTCTCCATCCTGCCATAGTGACCGTCTCCTCCGCGGGTGTCCTATCATGTTGCGAAGTCGCCGCTGAGACGGAATGATGCCGAGCGCCCGCCCATCCCGGCGCAGCGGGCTCAGAGGAACCAGCGGCCGCGGTCGATGTGCGTCCGGCCGCTCGCCCTGCGAGTTGCTCCGCAGCAGCTGGTCAAAGTCGAGCCCCAGCTCCGGCACCTGCACACGGGGAAGGAAGGGCCCTCGGTCGCTTGCTGCGTGTCTCAGAGCGGAGCGGCTTGGCGTGCTGGTACTGGGTATGCTGGCTGCAGCGACGCCGGGCGTGGGTTCCGTGTTGCGGGAAGCCATGGGCGGCCGCCTGGACAGCAGGCCCGTCATGGAGCTGAGCGAAGAGCGCGCCCGGTTCAGCCGCGATCGCGAGCGACTGGGCAGCGGAGCATCTCCGGGCGCTGACGGGCCAGCATCGTGGCGCCCGAAATGAGAAGAGAGGCGGTTGGAGAGTCTGGTGGTGCTCGTTCGGGGTCGTGAGGGCGTGTCCGGCGCTCTCTGCAGCAGCTCTGGCACCGTGTCGCTGTCGGGCTGGGACGAGGCCAGCAAGCCAGGCGCCCATGACTGCGGCCGCGAGCGCCGCCGTGTTTGCGCGTCCGCAGCGCCCGTGGAATTTGCCTGGCCCATGTTGTGAGGCCGTCCGGCGAGGAAGGCGCGCCTCGAGAATAGAAACGGTCGGAGAGGGTGTCGTCGGTCGATGTGTCTTGGGTCAGAGCGACGAGGTCCAGCGGCGGCAGGCGGTGATGTATGGCGCAGCCGAGCCTTCCCAATTCGTCACGCCGCTAACGCCATGGGGCTACCGCCGTCGATTGCTCTTGCCCAGGTGCCTCGAGTCTATTACTGAAACCACTCGCCGCACCTTTATTCTACAGACTCAATTTCCCTCCCCTCCCCTCAGTGTGTGTGCGTGGCCGCTATCCTGCATAGCCTCACCGCCGCACCCCGGCCTTCTGAGCAGGGGCCGTTGCAGCGCAGAAGCCGCATGAGCCTGCAGTCCTGCCTCATCAGCAGCCATGCAGCACTTCACCACGCAGCTGCGCCATGAACAGAACAGGACACGCTCGTTGCGCGCGAGTCAGTACCACAGGGCAAGAAGAAATAAAGATAAAAGGAAGGAAGATGAATCACTTGCGGATCTAGAGGCCGACGACGAAACGCAGCCAGACGCCATAGCCCAATCGTACGCCTCGTCCACTGCGCCTGGAATAGCTCAGCTGCGTGTCGCAGGCCTATTGCCCAGTCAAGAGGACAAAGTCCCTCCACCACCCTTCCCCCATGCATCTGCGAGCGTGTCCAAACAACACAATGGCCCCGCTAAAGTCCAAGAGGAAATGGCCAGACCGCCTTCACGCCTCTACGCCGTCCACGCCTCTTCAAAAGGTGGTGCCGTCCAAGGCCATCCAGAGGCTCAGAAGAGGGCTCATCTCGATTCTCTGTCGACGCTGATGCATTGCTGTCTGCTCAAGGGAGATTACGAGCGTGCGGGGAGAGCGTGGGGCATGATTTTACGGACGCAGGTTGCTGGTGGGCGCCCTGTAGATCCCCGTAACCACGGACGCTGGGGCATCGGTGCTGAAATAGCGCTGCGTCGAACGCCACAGACGCTGATGGAGCACAGATTCTCTCCAGAAGGCTTTGAGCTTGCTCGTGAATATTATAATCGTCTCATTATCCAACACCCAACCCGGAAATTGCAACCCCATGCTGTTGACGAGAGGACATTTTACCCACCCATGTTCTCGTTGTGGATCTACGAAGTCCGCGAAAAGAGCAAGCGTGCAAGACAGCAGCTGCACGACGACGTTGCAAACCAATCGCGCTCCTCTCGAAGCACGTCAGTCGACAGTAACATCAGTGAGACTCCGGACAACTCTTCCGCAAAAGAGGCGACAATTCAAGCGGAGGAACTTAATCAGGCTCTGGAGATTGCAGAGCGCCTCGACCAAGTCATATCATCTCCGCCATTTGATAAGCAGGCAAGTCTCCTGGAACTCCGTGGCCACATTTCTTTATGGGTTAGTGATCTCACAATGGGAGATATGGACATCCATGCGGACTGGGCTATGAATCCATCTACGCACTCAAGTCCAGCTCCAGAACAGCTCAAACGACTTGCAAAAGCTCATCATGAAGTGCTAGCAGCGCAGGCGTTTCTCGAACGAGCTGTTGCGAATGGGGCTGAGAGCCAGGCAGCAACTCTGTCAAGTATCAACATCAAGCGTAGGAGTCTGGTCAAAACTATGGAGCAGTTGCGTACTGCCAGGTGAGGCAAGCACCTCACGGATGAACAAACTTTGATTTCCGCGTTATACCCAACCTCTTCTTACAAGACTATTACAATTTGAGACCATGCACCAAGGTCCCGATACGTGAGTATCCGCTTCTCACGTCTCTCTTCTCGTACATTCCAACCCTCCTCCTGCATTATCTGATTGAGGTCTGACGCCTGCAAGCAGTGCAAGTCTACGCGTAGGAGGCGGCGAAGACAAGACAAAAAGCAAAGTCAGCCACCTCCCAATCACACACAATCCCGCACAATCCTGCAAAACAGCCTCATATGTGGAACAATAGAGTGACTCCGAGCTCAAACCTAGAAGGCGGCGCAATTTGCGATCAAGCGTGTCGCGTCGCATCAACATGATCAACCATGTCACATGAGCTTGACATAACATAATCGCACGCCAATAAGAGGAGAGGCAACGTTGAACTCGAATCTTCATTTGGGCAGTAGAGTCTTCGCCCGGGTATCCTAATGACTGAAAAAGAAAAGCTAGTAAGAAAGCCAGACCCGTTTAAACGCCAAAACACCCCCAGAAGCCAAAGTCATCCATACCCTTCCCGCCAACACTACATCAATCAAAGGAAGCCACCAAAGACAATCCCACGGATTTGACATGCTAGCTCAAGCCATCTAGCACTGAGGCGAGTTGCAGATCTTGCGCACGTTCTGGGGTGCGAAGGTCTGGGGTCCACCAGTGCAGACGCGCTTGTCGCCGTCAGTGTGGCAGTTAAGCGAGTCGATCTTGACCGCGGTACCTGAGATCCACTGGTTGCTGGTCTACTGTTAGTAGTCGTATGTGAAGGAACGTGGTAGTGGACTCACCCTGAGCAGGTCCAGGAGTGGCTGATCTGGTAGTAGGCCTGATCTTGAGGTCCACGAAGATCGAAGAGAAGACGGCGGTCAGCGACCTGGCACTCGTTGTTGTTGGGGACAGATGCACCGGAACCGCCGCAGTGAACGCCGTTCTGGACGGGGTCGTCGTTGCCGCCTCCAGAGAAGGAAGACTTGAAGTTGAAGTCAACGCTACCGGAAGTAGCAGAGGTGACGAGCTTGTAATCGGAGATGGTGTAAGAGACCGGGATACAGCCCTCATCGCCGCGGACAGCAAGGCTGGCGGGAGCAGCTACGGCAACAGCGGCAAAGGCCATTGCGAGGGAGTAGGAGGAGCGCATCTTGAGGGGATGTGGCTTTGGTGAGAGGTGGGAATGTGGTGACAGAGGGAGTTGAGGGATGAGTGAGTTGAAGAGTTGATACTTTTGTGAGTGCGATGACGAGAAGGAAAAGGTATTGGAAGAGATTTTTGAGTTATATATACTGGCAGGAGCGTTCGCTATGGCGCAATCCGGGGCCGCTACCGGCAGGGGCGACGGGCCAGATGCGTACGAGAAAGTGACTGGAAGGCGAAAAATCGGGTTTGGGTCCGTTCGTAGGTCGCAAGACGAGCAAGATGAGCAAGTTATTTGGGGCTGTACGAAGAAGAGCTAGCGGGTTCTCGAGGTTCAGTAAGGAGACCTTGCGGCTGAAGGTGTTATTGGGTAGGTCTCAGTATAAGCTTACGCGCAGCTGTTGGGTTGTACTACCAGCAGCTGAGCTACATACTGAGGTAACTACCAATAGCTGAGCCATGTAATGAGGGACTAGATTAAGGACAAAGCGACGTTTGCGAAACGAGCGTTGAAGGTTCCCGTGGGTAGCACGCCATATAGAAACCGACAAAGGCAAAGACGAGTGGCAGATGATCATGGTCAGACATATCCGCAAGAGATGTGGAAGTAGGACATCATTGCCCGTCTGTCAACAGTAGGACACACTATGGTCAGAATGCAAGAGCCAGAAGTAGGTACTAGAATAACAGCATTTGTTGTCCCCAATTCACTCTATAATTTAGCAATTAGAAAACTCAAGGGAAAGAGATGTAAAATATAACCAGAAGCAAGCCTTGTTCTTTCATTTCTTGATCAGGGGCTTTGTTGTGTTGTAACGTTCGAAGATTCACCTGTTCTGACTTCCGCGTTCCTGCGGGAGGACGTATGCACCTTTGAAGGTGCTCAGAACACATGCTCAGAAAACAAAGAGCGAGCCCGGTGTAGTGGAGGAGACACAGTACCTTGTAGGGCGATGGTGCGTCATTGGCCCGGAAGCGAAAGACCAGCATGGCACTCCCGCGGGGAGCATCGTCATTTCACATGAGCAAGTTGGCTGCCCAGACGCACTCCAACACAATGGACATCACACCAGTATTCAACCAGATACTCGCCAAACACGATGCGCGCCCGATCGAGCCTCATGTATTCCGTGTCGAGGCCCTAGATGATTTTGTGAAGGAGGCATACCGCATTGTAGGCCACGTTGCGCGCCTGGACTCGAGGGGAGGTGGAAGCTAACTGTCGCAGCGAGGTCACATTGCGAAGCTCCACACGGACCTGAAGTCGATACGGCAAAGTTATCTCTCGACGGCGCATCCTCCCCGCCGGAAGCAGTACACGCGAACCAACGGCTCCGCGACGTCGGCAGACAAAGATGCAAAGTACCTCAGCGACACGCAGCGCAACGAGATTGACGCCCAAGCGAAAGAATCGATACACGGGCTGAACGATGCTATCAAAAGGCTGGGCATTGCTGAGCAGACACGGCAGGAAACGCAGACGCAGGTTGCTTTGAAGAAGCGCGCAAAGCAGGGCCTAGGTGCGCTTGGACGATGGGCAGCAGGCGGGGCAATCACAGCAAAGAGCGTCGAGGAGGAGATCCAGGAGGCGAAGGCAAATACGATCAAGGCGCATCGAGAGAGCATAATATGGTCGCTGCAGAAGCAGCTGGAGCAGTGCGGCCAATTCCAGAGCGACATGATGGAGATACGGCTCATGCGCGAGGTGGAGAAGAGCAAGAGCGTGCTGTACAAGACGAGGACCACGGGACCAACGAGCAGCGAATACAGCGGCGTGAATGGCAGCAGTGCAGGCAACGAGTCTGCAGGCTATCGCGCGAAGCCGACGTACAACCCCGACGAGTCGAGCGCGGTGATCGAGAATCAGCTCGACCCCGAGCAGCTCCAGCTATTTGCGCAGGAGAATCAGGACATGCTCAAGCAGTATGAGGACCAACTCGACAAAGTTCGGTATGTACTCGAACGTGCGCATGCTGAACGACTACTGACACAGCCAGCGCAACCGAAAAGTCCCTCACCGAGATCTCGGAACTACAGTCGACGCTCGCGTCCAACCTCAGCATGCAGGCGGCGCACATTGACCAGCTCATCGAAGACTCGTTCAACACGACGGAGAATGTAGGGAGCGGGAACAAGGAGCTCAAGCGTGCGACGGAGCGGGGCAGCACGGCGCAGAAGCTGTTCTGGGCGACAAGTATCTTCTGCACGACACTTGTCTTGTGGGACTTGTTCATCTGAAGCGTGCAGGAAGACAGGCTGGTGTTGTTAGTAGACAGTCTACATGTGAATCAATCGCGACCTCGCCGTTAGTATCCGCTGCGCTCTGAGTGGACCAGATCCCCAGAAGCAGGAAAATCAGCCCATGTGGGGTGGGCAGACATGAACCAAGTGCAACGCAGACCCACAACGGTTCATGGCAAGAAATGGTTGTGGTGATGCCCTGCATGTGAGACGGCCTGTCTGGCTGACATGATGGCGCGGTAACTTGTGCCTCGGCTTGCCTGCTCACACGACGCTGCGGCAGACCTTCCGAGCGTCAACTCTATATAACGAGCTGGCCGAGAGCCGTCGCCATGTCTGCATCTCTTGCTCATCGTCTCGCGCCGGCCCTCCCGGTTCTCCGCATCTCGTCTCCAAAAGCAAACTGCGGGGTTTAGCGTGGGCGGACGCGGCTTCCCTTTCCTAGGCAGCGGCAGCGGCAGCGGTGAAACGTAAACGTGGGAGCGCTCCTACGCCGTAATCATGCCAGACTCACATACCTCCTCCTCCTCCTCCTCCCCTCCCCAGACCTCGTCCAAGACACGCCTCTCTCAGATCTCCTCCCACATCGAACCCATGGCTGCCACCGCTTTCGACGCGAATGTCGTCCCCCAGGCGCCCGAAGACCCGCTCTTCGGCCTCATGGCTGCCTTCCGTCGCGACGAGGACCCCAACAAGGTCGACCTGGGCATTGGCGCTTACCGCGACGACAATGCAAAGCCCTGGATTCTGCCCGTCGTCAAGAAGGTACGCCCTCGCGCCTTCCTCATGTCCACACCACACAGGCTAACATTACACGTCCCCAGGCCGACGACAGACTGCGCGACGACCCCAACCTCAACCACGAGTACCTCCCCATCGCCGGTCTCGCCGAGTTCACAACCGCCTCCCAGAAGCTCGTGCTCGGTGGTGACAGCCCCGCCATCAAGGAGAAGCGGGTGCGGACACCCCTCCATCACGTCATGACTTGAGCTCACACCACACAGGTCACCAGCTTGCAGACCATCTCTGGCACCGGCGCCGTCCACTTGGGCGCCCTCTTCCTCGCCAAGTTCTACAAGACCCAGAGCCAGCGGACCGCCTACTTCTCCGACCCGACATGGGCCAACCACTTCCAGATCTTCTCCAACGTCGGCCTCGAATACAAGACATACCCCTACTTCTCCAAGAAGACCAAGGGCCTCGACTTCGATGGCATGATCGGTGCCCTGCAAGATGCGGCAGAGGGCAGCATCATCGTACTGCACGCGTGTGCTCACAACCCCACCGGTGTCGACGCTACACAGGAGCAGTGGAAGAAGATTGCCGAGGTGATCAAGTCAAAGAAGCACTTTCCTTTCTTCGACACCGCATACCAGGGCTTTGCTTCAGGTGACCTTGCAACTGACGGCTGGGCGATCCGCTACTTTGTCGAGCAGGGCTTCGAGCTCTGCATTGCCCAGTCCTACGCAAAGAACTTCGGTCTGTACGGCGAGCGAGCAGGTTGCTTCCACTTCGTCACCTCGCCGTCATCCGACGCCGAGTCCACCATCAAGCGCATCGCCTCACAGCTCGCCATCCTC